TTGACATTTTGTGGACGTTGCATGGCGACGTTTCCGTAGATTTGACTGTGCACAGTGAATACTTCATATGTTGATATATACTGTGAACATTTTGTGTATATTTGAATATGTTTATCTATGTATATAAAAGGACGTGAATAATGTCAAATCATGAAAATACAAATTGTTTAGTCTCTAAGAAAACTTGTAAGATTTCTGCTGCCATTTTGGCTAAATGGGTGCAATTTGGGTACTCGGTGCAATTTGGGCAATGTTGTGTTGTGTATAAGACGTTATGTCAAAAAAATTCGATCATTTTCACACTTCCTTCTATGATCAATAATTGATTTTATGTACAGAAAGCTGTTATTCTGTTAATCTTTTCTGTAATCAATATTTGTTTTACATATTTTTTTTAATTTTCAGATATTGATTATTATTTATATTTTCCAACACCCAATTATTCTCTATTCTTTTTTAACACATATTTGCTGCATCAATTGCAAACAAATGTATTTCAGTTAAGCAGGAAATACTTTACTTGAGTGTGAGAAGATTCACTAGCAATATACACGACATCCACAATTAAGAAAAATCAGTATTAATTAAGAAATATCTAAGAGATGCAGGTAGGAAACTTTTTTCTTTGTAAATATTTGTTAACCTTTTGTACCTTATTCTAACGAAATTACTACGTATACTTCTTTTCTACGTTTTATTTGTTTGAGCAACACTGAGTAAGTTTTCTTCAAAAACACTTTTCAAATTAATCTTAGTTTATAGTATTTCTTATATTACCATAAAAAAAAGATTTTTCATGTAAAAGGGGGAAATAAAGAAGTTACATGTACCAAAAGAGCATTTATTTACAAACTATATTAAGACAATTAAAAACAGACAATACCTTACAAAATGAAAAGCGAGGACAATAATGATAAAAAAAACAGGCTCAAAACTATATGAAAATCTAAAGGATGAGCAAAACAAGGGAAGTGCTACACTCAGATGCCGCGGAAAGGTAAATAATTACTTTTCAACTAGGTTCACCCGTCACACATGATATTTATTTGGTGCGTCCGAACCGCTTTTCTTGATCAATCTTCATCAGAAACACTCATACAAAAACAAAATTTTAAAGCCAGGGATGTTTAAGTACTTGAAAACTTTAGGATCTGTATGACCAAAAGGATTCTAAAAAACAGCCAATTCTATCGTAGTAACATCAGTGATTAGTCATATAAGGTGATGCATTTTTGTGAGTGGTATCAATTCGCTTGTATATTTATTATAGCTGAAATATGAATCAAGTGTTCACGTTTCCTTTCACAGTATTGGAATTAAGTTCAATTGTTTCTTGCAATGCACAAGATCGTGTGTTCCTACACTATCTTTCTTTCTGTATGTAATTTATTTTGCAGTACTGCCGCGGATATAAGACTATTCTAAATATACAAGAGAGTAGTTAAGATACTGTGAGCTTGCCTTTAATAACTGCGAGCATTCTTTGAAACAGTAAAATTGAGTATTGTTTTCTTTGTACCTGTGTTTTAGTTGTCTGCTATACAAGTTTTATAAAATTGTTTCCCTTATTTGTTGTTTATCGTTATTGTATATTTTTCTATGTAGCTTTAGCTTTTACATTTATTAAAGAAAAATGGGAATATTACGTTATCCATGTTTGTGTGCCTGTCCATACTAATGAACCTCATAATTTCTATTTTTCCCTTCAGGAAATTGTTGGTATTGATGCCACATCTATGAACTTTGTATTTTTCTTTTTCTCTTGAAACTAAAGTATCAAATGACGCAACGATACGCAAAATGTTTAAAAAAAAACTCTATCACAAATGTACTATTAGATTCATTAAGAAAATAACAGACTACTGTTGTAATTTGTCTTTTTAATAATTCATTAAGTTAAATTGTTTTTTTCTTTATGGTTCTTATTTTTAACATCCCGTAGGAGTGCATGCTGACCATCTCTTGTATTTGTCCTGTACGCCCTAAAAAACAAATGACCACATTTATCTTCTTATACATAAGTGCTTTTTAATGTCACTAATGTCATTTACTTGCTGATGAAAGAAACAGTGGTATATGTGCCAGCTTTTTATGTATAGATATCTTAAGTTAATGATAAAGAAGTATTTACTGATCTGAATAACTATACATATTTATATGTTTGCTTTTTTCAACGTGTTTGGAAATAGTAATTGGTTTATAAAAAAAACCTTCACTTTGCATATGATATAGCTAGTTATATGACGCAAATAACTCAATCTTAAGCATTAAAAAAATCTTTAAGTGAAAACTAAACAACAGGCGAATCGAATTTCAACGTTCTGTGTGAAAAGATCAGTTGGAAAAGGTTTTGACCTTAGATAAATTTGGTTAATTTGTAAAGTAATTTTTGGTCAAATAGCAAAGAAAGTTTTTACGTTTTTATACGCCCCTGGTTTTCAAATATTTGGGTTTGGGCGTTCATGATGAATGTAAATTGTACATCTAGAAAAGACAATCGGACAAATGAAATTTATAAAGTGATATTTTCATTTACTAGCACGGGGTCGATACCACTATTGTTGGACTGTTATTCATTAATCCCTAGCTTTGATATGTTTGGGTATGAACGTTCCTGATGAGAGTAAATCCATGAAAGCGCTTCGGATACACAGAATTCATGAAGTGTTACTTTCATTTATTTTGCTCAATCTTTAGTCCAATTAGTTATTTGTGTACTGTCGTTTGTTTGCATTTTCCTTGTAGTCATGTAGTCATAATGTTAGTCGTCTATCTACGAATTATGTTTACATTGGTTTCCCCTTCCTATCTTCTCTTTTGGATCATGTAATTTAAGCAATAATGACGTCCATATCCAATTACTTTGAGTTTTTGTTTGGTAATATCGAAAACCATAAACCATAAGATTCAAAAGATAACAAACTAACGCAGTCTCAAAAACCACAAAAAACGAAATTCACGATTAAAGACATTTTGACAGAAAGTTGAAAAAGTTATTTGAAAATATCTATGTCCCAGTAGTGAAACTATTACAATACATTGAAGGCCATGCCAAGCGTAAAACCCTCGTTTTTTTTCAGTAAGTCGTGACATCTAAGATAGCTCGAGTGAAACGCTTAATTAAAACTAATTAGTAGATAGTCAGCTTGACTTCTATTTTTTTTTTTAAGTGAAAATAACACAATATAAATTTTGGTCGTCTGAAGCGTCAGGAACGCTAAACCAAAATATTTGGAAACCAGAGATGTATAAAAAAAATATGTTTAAAATTCAATGTTAAATTTGATTAATCAGACAATTAGTTATACAAATACCTTTTTATAGAACGCTTGAAGGATTTGGTTTAACTTTAATGGGGGTTGTTGTTGTGTATTCATTCTTGTGTATTCGTCGTGAAAAATGTTTTTCGCAGGTCTGTAATTGGTCTGAAATAGAATTATCAGTCGTGAAATCGAACAAATTCGGTATTGAAAATGAATAAAAAACATTGATGTTCCTACTCTCCCTATTTGATATCGTCTAGTCATCCATCTGTTGTAAATGTTCTAACATGATACTGAAACTAGCTTGTGTCAGGTTCTTCATGTAAGACTTCGTATGAATAGTGGTTCACCGAAACATCATTTCATACATTATTTCATTATATTCTATTTGTGCATTTGGTCTAATAGAGACTACACCTGGTTACATGCATCATTGCATTCAAAATGATCTATGCAACGAAATTGCTTTGACCTTCAATTAAAAAGTGCACGATAAGCAATGCAGAGCTTCTTCTCCGCTACTTTGATATTCTAAATGCAGATCAGATATTTTTAAAAGAAACAGAAACTCTGATTCATTTGAACGAGTAAAGGCTTTTCAACGGAAATTTGTCTATTAGATAATTACATTTAATCTGTATAATTGTACATAACTGATTTGTGTATCATGTTTTGTTAAATCCTTAATTGATTTGATAAATAATTCATATTTCAGTAATGTAAAGCAAGTGCTTAAAACTATAACGTCAATAAAATTGTATGTTCATATTAAAAGAGTGATAATAATACATGTTTTTGAGAAGATAACAACTGACGAGGTTTTAGAATAGGAGAAGCTACTTTCTCTTTCACATTTGTTACATGTATGTTTCTTTCAGAACCGAATATTAGTCGTCCTGTGGTAAATGTTCTGTATCACTTTATTGTTTTGATAAAATTTATTTGACATTGATTAGGCCAATAATGTCTTTTGTGTTTTTTCCATATTTAATTTACTAGTTTACTTCTAACATGGTCTGTCGAAGGGGAAACAAAAAAAAAATTGAAAAGGACCAATTACAGTCCTTTTTTGTGTAGATATGAAAATCATATCAGAATTATTGCCTTTTAAACCCAATATTTCAAATAATGAACATAGGATATCGGAAAAATAGTCATGATAATCTCTATCAAAGTTTAAAGAACGCAATCCATGCAATAGTTACTCCTTTGTATACGGAATATCTTTGATACTGATGACTACTGTTATTTTCCTGTTTTCTTACACAAATCCCCTTTGTTTATACCTGAATATTCACCAGATATGACTTCATACGTTTTGTTTTCTTGTTATGAACAAGACAATGATATTCAAACACCTTTTTTAAATGGAATTTAAGTTTCAAGAAATAATTTACCTGTAAATTGAGTATTTGTTAATCTGTACAATAACACATCAAATATTTATGTGTCCTGTTTTTGTTGTTGAGTATTGTTGATGCAAATGTAATATTTAAATATCATAATTCTACTAAGAAATATTTTTATGTTTATATTTTGGATTCCTGTACAAAAACCAGACAAAAAAATTCTGTTATATTTTGATGTTTTAACTACAATGTCCACTAGTCGAAAGTTTTGCAAAACTGTACATTAAATGGCCCTCTGGAGTACTCAGAATGCGTGTGTACATACCAGTATTGAATTTGATACAAGGGTCAAACAAAATTGCAAAAGTATAAACAATAAGCTACTTACATCAAAACTGTATGAATTTACCATTACAATGCAGACAAGGAAAACCATGATAAAGATTCTTCTGTAATCCATTACCTTCGCTGGTGCTTGTATCTGTGTAAGCTTGGTATTTCAGACTTACCCTTTAGAAATTTTAATATTGACAATGTAAATGGTGTAAAATCCCTCGTTGATGATGTATATGATTTGGTATATTCGAAAATTAAAATCATTAATTTTCTAAATTTATGTTATCGTTTATATATCAATTTATACTATCATTTTTTTGACCTAAACAATTACACGCTTGTATAGATAAAGCGCATTATTATATCTATTAAAAATAAAAAATCTTTATTGTCTGTATTTATTTAAAGAAGGGACATGGCAAAATTCCCAACACGTACTGAGACTTGACAAAACAAAAAGCAACTCAGCTCGAATTCACAACAAAACCTACAACACAGAGCAAAAGCTTACACAGCACTGAATGTATATTCACCATTTAACGACCTGTCCTGTTTGTGTGATGTTAATAATAAGATAAAATCGCAGCTTTTGTCCTTCAATTTAAGGTCTTATGAATCCTTTGAAAATATGTCTTCAAATTACTTATTCATTCAAATATCCCTTTGTTTCATACAATTTTACAATCCAAGATTGCGAAAATACCAATACAAACTGAAAAAAAAACCATGTAAGTCAGTGAATACCAATAACACTAAATCAATGTAAGACAGAAAGCAAATTTATGTCTTGGATATTGCTGTATCTTGAAATCATGTCAAGTTTTGAATCTGGTAACAACTAATACAAAAATGCATAACCCATGGTGAAAATATGGCTATGTCCTATTCCATTCAAAATGTAGCGCTATTTTAAGAAGAAATAAATACTAGAATAAAACATCATCATATGAAAATGACAAAGGCAAATTGTTATTTAATTTTGATGGCAAATTCTACATTTTAACGTGGTTGCACTATTGAATATTTCAAGGAAACATCATAGATAGTATGTTCAATTCCAACATTATTTTAACATTATAATTACATACACTGTATTTATCAACCGCTAGAGCAGGTGAATATATTTTTAATGTTTTGCCGAATGTAGTCAATTTATTGCGATGGTAGCACAGAATATTTACGAAAAAATCCCATATCGGTACCTTCAGTACATACTAAATGATTGCAAGCAAAACCTGTTATTTTCTGTCGTTTTAAATCACCGACGATTGTCTTGGTTAGTCTTCATCTTGATAGCAATTTGAATATTTTGAATTGAATAAGACGCCAAGGGTAATACGCTGCAGTTTCTCATTGTGTTTTCTACCTGTTAATGCAAAACCTGCAAATTTGATTTAAAGTGGCTACTACTAGATCATAAATATCTATTAATGTTTTAATACAATTTAAGGAAAAAAGGACAAACCGTTCAACCATACCTTTCGACTAAATGACAAAATTGAAAAGACAAATATTTTAACATGAGTGGGCGACAGATATTTTTCTTCCCAAAATTTTATTAAAAATGATACAAATCAACGGGTTGTATTTTAGTGGACCAAAGTACACGACGTTATTTTTCTCTACGGAATGTACCTCATCAGTTTTATGTAGACGAAACGCACGTACTTAAAACTATAAGCCTGGTATCTTTGATGAGTTCTTACTGTATTTCCCTTTAGCTGCACACTATGCAAAGTAAAACATTACGGAACCTGGAAAAGAAAGTCTTGAAACAAACAAATAGTACACATTTCAATGAAAATTTTGGTACTTATTAGTCATTACTTTAATCAAATATGCATGCATTATTTGTGAATTGACGTCACGCAAGCAAATTTTATTCGTTAAAAATGAAAGAAAGAACATGTAAGAAGATGTACCATTGTTTTATTTGAAAAGAAGAGAGAAACAATTAGAATTTTCTTTAAAAAAAAAGAAAGAAGAATATACAGGAAGGCAGCCATGAAAATTAACCAAATGTAAAGACAATATCGTGACCAAAAAAGAATTTACTAAAATATGAACAGTTTTCCATAAACAAATCCTATGTAAACAGATGTAAACCAGTTGTTTGTAAATGTCAGCAGGTCAAGCCCTATTTGTTTAGCACTAATACCACCAGTCAGATAATATAAAATTTGAATAACGATAACCTCTAATACTTTTCATGATTTATACCTCATATTAGCAGACTTTTGAAGAAATCCTTACCATGACACAACTTTTAAACCTCATATTATTGACTTTTACATTCACGTATAAGTAATGTATATTGCTATTATTTTTGATGTAAAAGTTGAATTATTTATTTTATCTCGGTGTTGAAATTTATCAAGTATGAATTCAATGATATGTTGTTTATACGTCAATGGGAAATTGACCTTACGAAATTGAAGAAGGGGAAAAAAGGTACATGTATAAAGCGGAAGCATGGTTGAATCAAATAAATTTTACTGAACTTACAGAGCTGATCACAACAAAATGAGAAATAGTTACAAATCGCGAACAGCGACTATGTATCAAATATTAACATTCATTACCAGTTCTAGAGGGATATTTCATGTCTGTATATTCTATATTTGGAATATGATTAACAATGTTACAATGTCATGCAAATGTGTAATAATAGGGCATTATCTATGACGCGTTAAAATTGCCTCAGTATAAAAGATCTGATTTCAAATCCTTTTTAGTTAGATTTTAAATTCTTCTCACCATAGAACATTAACAAGAAGGTTCTCATTCTGTGCTTTGCTCTTTGTGTCGGTAAGTGATTTCTCATTTAAAAGTTGATCTCAATCTTTTCAACTGTTTCGGTACTTATACATCCTCGGCTTTCAAATATTTGGCTTTGAACATTTCTGATGAAGGTAAATCCAGAAAAGCGCCTCGGACGCATGACATTATTAAACGTGTTGTTTTCATTTTTTTTTTGTAGCAGTAATCGTTCGAAAACATATTTCTTTTCATGTAAATTACTAGAATATTGATATCTGAGTCACAAGCCTACCAATAGCAAAAGTTAAATTCTTATACTTGAGCTTTTTCATAAGTTATCGTAGAAAAGCAGGAAAGCATATTCATTTTATCAAAAGTTCTTCAATACAAATGTTTAGGTCGCAGACCTGCTAATAGCCAAAGTAAGAAAACAAAATTGAATTATGTATAATCATGACTTTAATTTATGAAAAGAAGACATTTGTTTTGCTCCCTATTGCTACTTTTCATTGTTTAGACTGTGATGTTCACTTTTGGCCAATTTATCCGATGTGTATATATTTCTTAGATCGTTCACTATGTCCAAGTGCAATGACGTCATGGATGTCGATGAAAGTAATATATGTTCCTTTTGCTAACGAAACATCACAATCATAGTTGTTACTGTGATGGTCATTTTAGGACTTGGCAGTAAAAATGCGATTTAAGAGTTTGAACATTCGTTTCTCAATAATTACATAAATTATCAAAGGGGAATTTGTCAAATATATGTTGTAAATCAGGACTTTGTACTGACGGCTATTTAAGTCTGGACAAAATGGTCTTATTTTGTATTCAAATTCGGTTTTGAACTATTTTTTAGTAACCGCGAGAATTTGAGGTTTGTATTTTGTATCGTTTGTCATTTTGTTAACTGTGTTTGTGTGTTCAATACCGATCACACCAGTCAATCATTTTCAACTGGTTTTCAATTTATTCTTGTACTGTTACAGCACTTTTCCAATTTAGGGGGATTGACCACTTCTAATCATTGTAACCCAATTACACTCTTTATTTGTCTCTTCAAGCAAGGAGTCTGGAATTTGGTTGTGGACTGCCAGAAATGTCGTTTATTGTTTTAGCATATATCATACTGTTGGTTTTCTTTTGGGTTATTTCACATGTTGAATCATGGAGCCTACACTATAAGCTTACGAGTTTTAAATCATTATCTTATCTCGTTAGGTGATATTTGTTTATTAAAATTTTTGTCCTTTTATCGCGGCAATTATAGCGCATATTTCCTTATTTCTAAACTGATCAGCTAGTTAAAATATTCAAGATCCGTCCTCCGTTTGTAGTGCTGACTCGGTATTCTTGCTGTTTATAAACATTCGAATTTCGGCTTTTAGCGTTCCTGATGAAGGTAATTCTAGAAAACGATTTGGACGCATGAAATTGATAAAGAGTAGTTTTAATCTTTTATGCTTTATTCTAGCATTAAAATGACGTTTCCCTCGAGGAATCCACTCTTTAACTTTTTCATATGAATTCTATTAGTCTTCTTTAGGGAGAAACCTTAATGTCAATTGCATGGATGACCACTCTCATAATAATTCGTTACAAAATAACAGTATACGGTAATTGTGTCGTTAGCTATTGTTTTTTGTGGATATTTATAATCATTTTGAGAAATGAGTAGATGTTAAGGGGAATATGAAAATCTATCAGTATAAAAACAGACAAGACGGTGACTAAAAAGGGGGAAAAAAGGACGCAAATAGTTATCAAAGGTACCAGGATTATAATTTAATGCGCCAGACGCGCGTTTCCTCTACATAAGACTCATTAGTGACGCTCAAATCAAAATAGTTATGAAGCCAAACAAGTACAAAGTTGAAGAGCATTGAGGACCCAAAATTCCAAAAAGTTGTGCCAAATACGGCTACGGATATCTATTCCTTGGATAGGAAAATCCTTAGTATTTCGGAAAATTCGCCAAGACAAACAAGTCCACGAAACACGACATAGATTACAAACGTTTAGGAAAATAGAAACTTCACCACAAACCGAAGTGAACTCAAGTCTTTAGTTCATGCTTCCTTAGTGACACCTATAAAGATAGGAGTTTAAAGAACATTCATAGTTTAATTAGTAACACATATTTAATGAATTTCGCTATTCTTGTTAGATCCATTTTGTTCATATAACTTCTCACGTCATGACTTATAAATCCGTAGCTTTTTAATATTTGAATTTGATCGTTCCAGAAGAAGGTGCATGTAAATCATGAAAAGCTCTTGGAAGCACCAAATATTTAAATATTTTTTTTACATTGATTCATTACTTCTGCAGTTGGTCTGCTAGTTGCTTATGGGAACCATCATTAGTCGGTGCTTCGGTACTGACCCAATGTATATCTTATAATTTATAAAGTGTTATTTTTATATTGTATTGTTAC